ATTTGTAGAGCTGGAAAGAACATCAAGGGTCCTTTAGTCCAACTCCCTGCAATGCAGGAATCTCAGCTAAAGCATCCTGGACAGATGGCCATCCAACCTCTGCTTAAAAACCTCCACGGAAGGAGAGTCCACAACCTCCAAGGGAGACTGTTCCACTGTCAAACAGCTCTTTCTGTCAAAAAGTTCTTCCTGATGTTTAGTCGGAATCTTCTTTCTTGCAACTCGAAGCCATTGGTTTGAGTCCTTCCCTCCAGAGCGGGAGAAAACAAGCTTGCTCCATCTTCCATGTGACGGCCCTTGAGATATTTGAAGATGGCTGACGTATCTCCTCTCAGTGTCCTCTTTTCCAGGCTGAACATACCCAGCTCCTTCAACCGTTCTTCATCAGGCTTGGCTTCCAGACCCTTTATCATCTTGGTTGCCCTCCTCTGCACACGTTCCAGCTTGTCAATATCCTTAAAATTGTGGCACCCAGAACTGGACCCAGTATTCCACTCATGCTTCTCATAGGCATCTGGTTGGCAATTGAGAGAACAAATTGCTGGACTAGATCCAGAAGGCTCAACTTATGGTTTTTTATGTTCTTTGCATCAAAATGAATGGTGTGGATTTAATTATGTAATTATGTGAAACTCCATCACAGTGGACAGTTACATTCAGTAAGATGAATAACATCAGAGGTTGAACTGCAGTGGAATGAAAACATTGCTGTGGTTGACAGACATGGGTCAAACAAATATTGGTGTTTTCTTACATTCCTAAACATTTTTTTATAATAAATTTTATTGTTTTCAAAAATTTTACATATATACTTCAATACATAATAGATTTATCTTCTTTTGACTTCCCACCCCATTTTCCATGGTGTTTTTATCCCACCCCCTACTTTCTTTTTCTTACACCATAACATCAATATTGTATTCTTTAATTCCTTCTGTTGCCCATAATTCAAATCCTGCTCACGAGTTCATCATAGTGCAATATTTCCTTAAGTAGTCCAAAAAGGGCTTCCATTCTTCCACAGACTTGTCCCATTGATTTCAAAGCTTAGTCTAGGTTTCGTCCATTGTATTTTATAATTTGTTTGTTTGTGTGTTCATTGTTAGATCTACAGATTTGGACTGGGCAAATTTTAAAGGCAATGTGGCAAAATTGTTCCAACATTCTCTAGCTCGTTTACCTGACCACAGCTCCCCCCAAAAGTTAGCCTCTTAGTTCTTATTTAGGTAAAATTCAGGGAAGTCTCTAGCACTGATCTCAACGGATCTTTTTAAAATGTGTGTTATGGCAGGACCATTTGTGTAGCAGGTCCAAGTTACCCATAGGATAGCGATCTAGCCAGTGCCGGCTCTGCCATTAGGCCGACTGAGGCCGCTGGCAGATAAACAGCTCTGCCATCGGCTGAAACAGTGTCCTGAATTACGTGAGATCATGCAAGTATGCAAGATCTCATGCGATTTCAGTGAGATCTCATCCAAATCGGGTGGGATCTCACCTGAAATTTGTGCTGATTCCAGCACTGCTTCTTTGCCAGTAGCTGAGGTGGCAGGATGGATGGAGAAGTGGTGCCAGGAGCTGTGAGGCAGTTGCAAGGCATCAATTCCTGCTTCACCTTGATGGGCAAAGTGGGACACACCTCCCTGGATCTGGCCCATGCTCACTTCTAAGGGATGGGAGTCATTATCATCAAATTTGACAGGGCTTACTTCTGAGTAAACATGCTTAGGATTCGGCTGGGCTCCTAAGCAAATGTTACATTATAAACTCCACATTCTTGCAGGTAGGGCTGTAAAGTACGTTAAACTCATTGGGACCTGCCTCTAAGGAAATCCTCCAGCTTTTTCTGCTGAAGGCAGAAAGTGGTGGTGTTGGGTAATGTGTTTCTTTCAGCCTCAGCGACTCTTGTTGTCGTTTTGTTTTAAATCTCCCCTCCCCATTGAAAACAATGGTAGAAAATGACCAGCACCAGCTGGTGGCTAATTGGGCTTGAAGTTCTCAGGGTTTTTTGGGGGGATCCAGTAGATCCAAGGCCACATCTGTCCCAGAAGGTCCCATGTACTGCTGGCTGAAACACCCTTGGCCTTTGGATTTATGCTGCATAATTCTCTAAACATATTTGGGGTCTCTGCCCACCAACCTGCTAGTGACACCTCTCTGTCTCATCCTGGCCAGATTAGGATTGCGTTGTAAGGTTACGGTCCAAGGCAGTGTTCTTCAGCCTTGGCTCCCCAGACTACAACTCCCATGTTTCATTGCTGTTTGGCTAAGTTGGCTGAGGATGATGGGAGCTGGAGTGCATGCCATCTGATGGGTACCATGTTTGGGAAGGCTGGTCTAGGGATAGACAACTGGTGGTCTGGAAGTTTGATCCAAGGACTCCAGATTCTTTCTCTCCATAGACAGCCAAAGGACTCTGTCACAGGGCACTTCTTGATGCTGCTGCTGCAGTTATTATATTGATAAAACACACAAAGCCAGTAGGCACTGTACAACTAGGGTGGCTAACTCTTTAGGCTACAAGGGCTGCATTCAACCTTCTCCTGCATGCCATTGATGGAAGGAGCATCTCTTAGGTCTACAGAGATCAGCTAAGGAATGGCATATCATTGCCCCCTCTTGCCAAATTCCGATGACTGGGGAGGGGCCATTTTGTATGCCCATCAAGGTGCCCACCTCAGCACTAAGTCTTGGCTGTTTTTATCTCCTTTCCCCTGCTGCTGTTGTCAAAATCAATGAGATCTTGGGCAGCCAAAAATAAAAATAAAACCTTGCAGGATCGGGGGCGGGGGCAGATCAGGTTGCCAAACTGGGGGGGTTAACTAGCCTCTCCAGCTGTACCATAAATATAAATATAGAAATAAATAAGGACAGCCCTCCTCTTAACAAGCAAAGTTTACAATCGAAATGTGTTGACATATACAGTCGTACCTTGGTTTTCGAACAGCTTAGTTTCCGAACAACTTGGAACCCAAACACAGCAAACCTGGAAGTTTTTATATTTTTCGCTCCATAAGACGTACCCAACCATAAGATGCACCTAGTTTTTAGAGGAGGAAAACAAGAAAAAAAAATATTCTGAATCAAATGTTGTTGAAGAGGCTTTGCGTGGCTATCGCTGAAGCCAGAACAGCAAGAGGGATTGCTGTGCAGCTCTCCCTCTTGCTGTTCTAGCTTCTGGGATAGCTGCACAGCCTGCATTCGCTCCATAAGACGCACACACATTTCCCCTTACTTTTTAGGAGGGAAAAAGTGTGTCTTATAGAGCAAAAAATACGGTAGGTGTTCCGGTTTGCAAACTTTGCCTCAGAAGCTGAACATCCGGCACGGCTTCCACAGCTTCCAATTGGCTGCTGGACGCTCCTGCAGCCAATCGGAAGCCACGGCTTGGTTCCCGAACGTTTTGGAAGCTGAACGGACTTCCGGAACCCATTCTGTTTGAAAACCAAGGTACGACTGTACATTGGTGGTGTGCATGTGTGTGTCAAAGAAGGCTTTGCTTCTATCTAGACTGCCATGGAGATAAGCCACAGCACCAGCTTGTGATAGGACTAGAAACAATATTTGCTGCCCCTTCAGACATTGCTTGATTCAAAATACAATTGCCTGTGAAAAATGAATTGCTGATTGGGTACTCCAAACGAGGCTCTGGCCACCTCTGTACTATGCATTTGAAGCACTATTGTACCACTCCAAGGGATCTTGAGAGTTTGCAAAGAGTGACAATTCCCAGAGTGGCTGAACAATCAATCCCTCTGGCCAGGGAACTCTGTGAGCTGTAGCTCTGTGAAGGGAACAGGAAGTCTCCTAACATCTCTCAGCACCCCTAACAAACTATTGTTCCCAGGGGTTGCCGTGATAGTTTAAAGTGGTATGATGATGCTTTAAATGTACTGTTGGAGATGGAGCCTTTCTTTTTTTAAAAAAAAGCACTTTGTAAACCCACCTCCCCCTTGCACCAACGTGCCGCCCAGTTATATGATCAATCGCGTTTTGTTTTCTAGCTTAGAGCCTCTTGTTCTTCTAACTTGTAATTGTGCCTTGCTCATTCAGATAATTTCTCCACGCTACAACAGATGCTCTTCAGATCCGGGCTGACAAGGGAAACACAACTTTTATACAAGTGGCCTTCAGAGCTCTTTCTAATATCATTTAATGTAATTTTTAAATGGTTATGTGTAATTTATATTCCAGCACTGTCCAACATTTGAACAACTTTAATATGTTGATTTCAATGTGTTATATATACATATATATATATAAATATATATATATTATGCAAATAATACTTCTTACCTGTTTTTTTTAATTTATGTTCTGTCTTTAAAAAGAAAATATACAACCTGCACCACTTATTAATAAATGAATAGAAATTTCAATTACCGGTCGTGTGCAAAGAATTCATTTCAAAACGCGTTCCGACTAGAGAGGAGTTAGCTGCCTTCGTCAGAAAACGAACGAGGCCATTTACAGTGTCGCATTTGCATCTTCCAAAAGCCTTGAAAAGTTTTCTAAGTACAGTGGTACCTCTGGTTAAGAACTAAATTTGTTCTGGAGGTCCGTTCTTAACCTGAAACTGTTCTTAACCTGAGGTACCTCTTTAGCTAATGGGGCCTCCCACTGCTGCCGCTGCACAATTTCTGTTCTCATACTGAAGCACAGTTCTCAACCCGAGGTACTATTTCTGGGTTAGCGGAGCCTGTAACCTGAAGTGTCTGTAAGCTGAGGTACCACTGTATTTGAGAGAACATGCAAAGCCTGGAAATAGATTTCTTTAAGTGCTTGAAGGGATGGCTCAAGACATTTCAGCACCCAAGGCGAACCACACAATATCCACCCCACCAAGGAAGAAGTGGTGAGTGAAGATCTAGGAACGAGGGTGCGAGGAGACCAGCAATGCCCCCTATTCACCAATAAGCCACTGTAGAGGCATCATAGAGCTGCAGAATTGGAAGGGACCCAAAGGTTATCCAGACCAACCCCCTGCAATGCAGGAATTCTTTTGCCCAACGTGGGGCTCAAACCCACAACCCTGAGATTAAGAGTCTCGTGCTGTACCGAATGAGCTATCCCTCACTCGGCGGGATGGCAACTTTCCTATGGTAAGAGCTGTTCGGCAATGGAACGGTCTTCCTCGGGAAGTGGTGGAATTTCCTTCATTGGAAGTTTTGAGGCAGAGGTTGGATGCATGAAAACTTTAGTTGAGATTCCTGCATTTCAGGGAGGTGAACTAGATGACTTACAGAGTACCTTTCAACTCTACAATTCTATGGTTCTAAGAAATGTGAGCTTAGTATTTGTAATGAGCAGGAAAGGGAACTTAAAGGAGTTAATGTTGGAGGCAGAACTGCAGGGGGGTTGGTGAACAGACCAAGTGAGGTGAAGCATCTAGTACAGTGGTACCTCGGGTTAAGAACTTTTTTTTTTTAATGATATTTATTGAAAAAAGAGTTTTTTTTAAAAAATTACACAAAAGAAAAAACAAGACAGAAAAAAAAATAAAAAAAATAAAAAAATAAAACCATCATTCTCCAATTCTCCAATTTCAATACCTTCTTTCCTTGACCTCCTCCTCCTCCCTTTTCCTGTATCCTGTTTTATAATAATCACAGCAAATCCTTTCCATAATTCATAGTATTCTGTCAACACATTACCTTGATCTATTTTCATCTTATCTTATAGAAAACCTTAAAGTTTAAAACTTAAATCTTAATTTTTACCAACTTCTCCTAAACCATAACATTCTTACCTAGTTCTTTAGACATTTTTATAAGAACCAAATAGTTTCATTTCAACATTTTCCTAACATTCATCAATTTTATAAAACAGTCCTAATGATAAGAATAAAAGAAAAAAGCAATCCAGTCTTCATCCCACGTCCCTTCCTCCTGGTCCCGGGTTTTGTCAGTCCTTTTTATCCTATTAATCTAGCACATTAACCTGGCAATCTTATATCCGAGGCCCTCAAGTCTCTTCCATGTCCCTTTCGTAACTCTTCTTTATATTTCCCTTTTATTCGTGGGAACTCCAGCTTGGTAGTGTTTTTGACCCTTTTCAGCAAGACGATCCCTTTTCCATAGTCCAGGATAGGCTCGATGTAGTATTTACAAGCATGCTCCAGATTCCCTTCAAAATTGAGAGCCCCCACAGCTCCAAACATCTGACGGCCTCTTTCCAGACTTGAAAAGTCCAAATCTCCTTGTAAAGGGGGGTCTATCCAACCCCCCATTTCCAAACCAAACCAGATTTTATCTTTCCAAGTCTGATTTTTTCCAAGTTCATTTATCAAATCCAAGAGTTTATATTCCTGCTGGGCCGCAGCTCCCTCCGTCTCTGGCGCCCAAGATTCAGCAAGGTCCTCTTCTTTCAGTTGTTCTGTCATGGCACGCTCCTGTTTTGATTCCTGGGTGGGCTCCATATAGTTTCCCACTACCTGTTCAAAGGTTCTGGCCGCATTAGTCATGAAATCTGTCTTCTGACTTAACTGATCCAATAGGGCATTTATTTTACAGAAAGCACCCAACAGTGCTTCTGAAGACATTGTCCTGCAAGGTCACAAATCCTTTCCCACAGTTGTAATCAGTGACAGCTGCAAGTTCCCAGGAATTAGTTACAATTTCACAGTTCCCCACTTCATTCTGGAGGTCTGTTCTTAACCTGAAACTGTTCTTAACCCGAGGTAGCACTTTAGTTAATGGGGCCTCCTGCTGCTGCTGCACCACCACTGTGCGATTTCTGTTCTCATCCTGAAGCAAAGTTCTTAACCCGAGGTGTCTGTAACCTGAAGTGTCTGTAACCTGAAGCATCTGTACCCTGAGGTACCACTGTACTGTATACTCATTCTCTCTCTCTCTCTGTCTTATACACACACACAAACAGTCCCTCCCTCCCTCCGATGCACACCCACCTTCCTCCTTATTAAGCTTAGGGGCAACGAGGGTTTAGCTTTTATCAAGCCTAATTTCTGCAATGGTGGTCTCCTTGAATATTGTAGCAGAAGATGGAGGATTACAGTCATACCTCGGGTTGAAGTAGCTTCGGGATGAATATTTTCAGGTTGCTCTCTGTGGCGACCCGGAAGTAACGGAGCGTGGTTTTTTCTTTTATAATTAATTTTTATTCAGTTTCCAATATACATTCCATCCGTTTTTTACGTCCATTTCTAACATCTACCTCTTTTAGACTTCCCCCAGCCTATCTGACAATTTCCATATTATCACAATTACTCGCATTTCTTAAATTTATATTGCGCTTTAACAATCTTAGTCTTATCATCTCTTTTAAGCAACATTTCTACCAATCATTTTCACAGAGCTTCTTGAAAGCCAACAAGCGTTAATTGGTCCTCACATACATTTTTGATATACTCTGTAAATTTATTCCAGTCCTCGGTGAATCTCTGATCGCGTTGGTTCCGAATTTCCCCCGTTAATTTGTCCATTTCTGCATATTCCATCAGTTTCAATCTCCATTCTTCTCTCGTCGGCACTTCTTCCTGTTTCCATTTCTGGGCCATCAAAATTCTAGCTGCTGTCACTGCATACCTAAATAATTTCACATCATTTTTTTAATTTCATTCCCTAATATTCCCAATAGAAAAGCCTCTGGTTTCTTAACAAAAGTGTATTTCAACATTTTCAGTAACGGAGCGTGTTACTTCCGGGTTTCGCCATTCTTGCATGCGCAGACGCTCAAAATGACATCACGTGCATGCGCGGAAGTGGCGAAACACAACCTGTGCACACGCAGATGCGCAGTCGCATGTTACGTTCGCTTCAGGATGTGAATGGGGCTCCGGAACAGATCCCATTCGCATCCAGAGATACCACTGTATTCCTTCCTTCTCCAAATTCCTGCATTCACTACTGTGAATTTTTCAGGGAATGTAGCATCACACACACACACACCATTTGATAATATAACAATCGCCTTGCTAGATAAGACCTATGTTCTGTCTGCAGCAGACCCATACCTCTCTGAAGCTCCTAAGTAGGGCATGATGCAGATAACATTTTTCTGTTCTTTGTCCGCAAGAGGTATATTGCCCCTAGAGATGGAGGCTCTACGGCTTCTTTTTTCGCTTCTTCCCTTAGCAATTGGTCAAAAGATTCCTGCTGGGAAGTTAAACTATAGCCCTGAGAAAGTTCCTTGCATAATTCATCTGAGCTGTGCTTTCACAGAAAATGTATTATTGCCCCAAATAAAGCTTTTTGTATGCTGGTCGGAGCAGAACAATACAGTGATTTAGCTGAGCATCGCCTTGCAGGGAGGCACATCTGAAATTGCACTGCCCCCAGATGAAATGGCCGTGTGATGTATGTCCTGCTGAAAGTCAAATTATCTCCGCATCCAAACATCAGACGGTTTGGATGGTGGCCCAGGGAACACCTTTATCTCTCAGTTAGAGAGTCTTGTGATAGATCATTCTCCCAGGCCCTTTCATTCCAGTATGATTGATGAAATATCAAGCAGCGGTCAATGGCAACAAAACCTCCAGCAGGGGAGGAAGCAGAAATCTGAGGAATTAATTTCTTCAAGTACCTTCATTGAACCTACAGTCTAGAACTGAGGCAGTCAGTGTGTTGCCCTCCAGATTTTGTTGGACTACAACTCCCATAATCCCTGACCTTTGACCATGCTGGGTGGGTCTGATGGGAGTTGGCACCCAGTAACATCTGAAGCTACTGTGTGACCGACCCCTGGACTGAACCCAAAGAGATAAACAGCAGAAATGCACTTCACATCTGTGTCAGGAGCTTGGCCTACACATGAGTAGGACCCTGGTAGAGACACTTGCCCGACTGGCATGTTCTCTCCCTCCTGGTGAATCGTTTTGGAGCTTCGAAAGCTTTCTTCAGCCCAAACATCACAGCGACCGATGCCAACCGACACCGGTACACTTGGGGATCCGCAGATTTTGCGCATCAAGCGTAACAGACCTCAGCAACTCAGCATTTTGGCTGATCTACTTATATGTAAATAAACACACACGGAGCACTACAACATGGCTCCCTCTCTCTCTAGCATCACACAGCAAAGAGAAAAAGAATGTAGGACAATAGTCCCACTTCATGGAACACAGTAACACAAACATCTTGTCCACGCCACTTCCCACTCTGTGGAGTCAAAACATATACCGTCATGTGATAGACAACAATCCCATGACTGCAATCATGGAGCAGGAATTCTATCAGTCTGACAGATCTGGAAAACCAAGCCCTTCACATTGGGCAGAATTAAGCACATAACTGGCTGGATTCAAGCCTGTGCAGCCGAATATCCATCAGACCCAAAACAGTCCTCTGTTTGCATAAGATAATGGTGAACCCACCATTAAAAACATCTGTCTTCCTGGGATCAGCTCACTGCAGGCAGATCTCCCCTATCATGTGTCATCTGACAGTTAAAAGAGACAGTGTAGCATAATGGTTAGAGTGTTCGGCTAGGATCTGGGAGAGCAGGGTTCAAATCCCCGCTCAGCCATGAAGCTCACTGGGTGACCAGTCACCATCTCTTAGCCTAGCCTACCTCACAGGGTTGTGGGGAGGATTCATAGCTGTCAATGTTTCCCTTTTTTAAAGGGAAATTCCCTTATTCCGAATAGGATACCTCGCAAGAAAAGGGAAAAGTTGACAGCTATGAATGGGAGGAGGAGAACCAGGCACACCACTTTGAGATCCTTGGAAGATAAAGGTAGTATATAAATGTAATTAACAACAATAACATACAGAGAGGCATGTAGGCAAAAAGATTCCTGCATTGCAGGGGGTTGGGCTAGATGACCGTCGTGGCCCCTTCCAACTTTGCAATTATATGCTTCTGCGATTCAGTTGGTGCAATGTTTCAGAAGCTGCAAATGAGGTGGGTCTGCCAATACCCGCTTAACTGAGTCAAATTCCCCTCCTGATTACACACGTGGTAGTATACGATGGAAATAATAATAATAATAATAATAATAGTAGTAGTAGTAGTTTATTACATACCCTGCCCATCTGGCTGGGTTTCCCTAGCCACTCGGGGCGGCACCCAACAGAATATTAAAAACACCATAAAACATCAAACATTAAAAACTTCCCTAAACATGGTTGCCTTCAGATGTCTTCTAAAAATCAGATAGTTGTTTATTTCCTTGACAGGAGGGTGTTCCCCAGGGCGGGCGCCACCACCGAGAAGGCTCTCTGCCTGGTTCCCTGTAACCTCACTTCTTGCATTGAGGGAACCGCCAGAAGGCCCTCGGAGCTGAACCTCAGTGTCCGGGCTGAGCGATGGGGGTGGAGACGCTCCTTCAGGCATACTGGGCTGAGGCCATTTAGGGCTTTAAAGGTCAGCACCAACACTTTGAATTGTACTCGGAAATGTACTGGGAGCCAATGAAGATATTTCAGGACCCGTGTTATGTGGTCTCGGCAGCCACTCCCAGTCATCAGTCTAGCTGCCGTATTCTGGATTAGTTGTAGTTTCCGGGTCAACTTCAAAGGTAGCCCCACGTAGAGCGCGTTGCAGTAGTCCAAGAGGGAGATAACTAGAGCATGCACCACTCTGGCGAGACAGTTTGCAGGCAGGTAGGATCTCAGCCTGCGTACCAGATGGAGCTGGTAGACAGCTACCCTGGATACAGAATTGACCTGCGCCTCCATGGACAGCTGTGAGTCCAAAATGACCCCCAGGCTGTGCACCTGGTCATTCGGGGACACAGTTACCCCATCCAGGACCAGGGAGTCCTCCACACCAGCCTGTCCCCCCAAAACAGTACTTCTGTCTTGTCAGGATTCTGAACTAAAGCAAAGCAGCAACACACACAGAGCCATTTTCTGAAGTCAACCTCTCTTTGTTCCAGAAGGGATGTTCCTTTATGACACTAAGAGGGCCTGTCTCTTTAAATGTTGGAGAAACAATCCTCTCAATTCTACTTTTCAGGGAAAGTAATTACTGCCAAAAGTGGCTTCACATCGCACCTTGCTATGTCATCCCACTAAGGGATTCACTCCAGTTCGTGCCACAAGCACTTTTTGCTTGCCTTTCACTTCCTCCATCCCATGGAGACTTACATTTCTCTTTTTCCACTGGCTTATCTTTTAAAAACAAGGTTATCGAGCCTGTCCATTCGCAGCCTAGTCACCTTTCATCAAAAGGAGTGAGATAACCTTTTGGCTGAGTACTCTTGCAGGGCTTTATCAACACCATCCACAGAAGCCAGGTGAGTTGAAACTAAAAGATACATAGATATGGAGAGAGAGAGAGAGAGAGAGAGAGAGAGAGAGAGAGAGAGAGAGAGAGAGAGATATCCTGGATAGTTTCAAGATAAATATAGCCCTTTTTGAAAAGCTTTAAAACAACAACAACACAAAACCCTCCTCTAATAATGGACCAGACAGAATGATAAATGTAGCAAGCTAGCTTTAAGTATAGGATGAGCGATCAAGAAAATAATTTGCAGTATTTCTAATTTGCAGTATATATATAAATATTTGAAGTTAGCTTCAGATCTGAGACAGCGGCCTTTTGCCGCTTGGAAATGAGCTGAAACAGGAAGAGTCGCAAAACAAGAGATCTCTCTGTGTTCTTTGCGTTTGCAGTAATTCCTTGTGTATTGCTACTGATAAAAGCAGGGGGAACACCTGATACCTGATTTGACATTACTGGCAACACACAAAAAGGAGAACATTATAAGTTACTTGTCGTGCTAAATGGTGCACGTGAACCGTGGCTAGTGTTTTTGTTAACTCGGGTCGGAGCAATGAAAAGGCACTTAATCCTGATTAAATGGTCTGACTATGGATGATCAAACAGGTTATAAATTGATATATCTGGAACGAAGCTATCTTTTCCCTGCTGAAGCTAATGGCCCAGTCCCCATCAGGAACCTTAAATGTCTTAGAAAATAAATGTTTTGTTGAGTTCAGGCTTGGCGTCAAAATAATAGCGTGTCATAGAAATGCTACACATATTAGCAAAACAAAATGGAAAACGTTCCTTGAATGTTCTATTAGTATGTTATCTGATAATGATTTTTTAAAGCTGAATGAAATTGTGGGTGTGGGGCTGGACTTCAAAAGTCATCATTAACAGCCTCTCTCCTTAGATGCTCAGCAGTAGAAACTGCTACAGAAGAGGTTTTAAAATATTAGTGATGAGCTTACTGAACAGTTTCAAAATGCAAGGGATTGTATTTGGCCAAATGTTGCCGAGTTATTTTATGTATTTATTCGCTTGCTCGTTAGAGAGTCTTGCATCCTGCCCCACCTGTGATCTGGAGCTCAGGACAGCTAAAAATTAATAGATGGATAATTATACAAAACGCCGCTTTCAGTTAAACTGCAAAGTCATAACAGCAACAATTGATCAGCAAATAGTATCAGTAAAACTACATCTAAAAATAGCTTGCCCTATTGTGCAAACAGCTAGCCAGAATGAAAATATCTTCAGTAGGGTTAGGCAGGGACAAAAGCAGTCTTTAATCTGGATGGGAGATCACTGGGACTTCTATGTATGTAGAATAATAATAATAATAATAATAATAATAATAATAATAATAATGATGAATTTAAAATGCTTTCTAATAAGTAACAAAAATGGGTTTTATCCAATGTTAGTGAAAACAGAGTAGAGCTTAGTCCAGAGCTTTCCAAACTGTTCATGTTGGTGACATGCTTTTTAGACATGCATCATTTCGTGATGCAGTCCTTCAGTTTTATTAGCAAACTGGGGGTAAAACTAACCCCTTTTCCAGCCCCAGGAGTAGCTCAGGGAGCTTTCGCACGACACACCTACACACTGCAGCTGACACACTAACATATCACAACACACACTTTGGAAAGCTCTGCCATAGGCATTTCCATTCATTTCAGTGGGACCCCAACGATCATCTAGCCCAACCCCCTGCAATGCAGGAATATGCAACTGTCGCATGTAGGGATCGAACCTGTAACCTTGACTTTATCAGCACCATTCTCTAAGCAAATGGGCTATCCAGGCTTTGCAAAGCTACCAAGCAGAAGAATTTGTTTTGCGGCTGTGAAGGTCCTGAGTGAGTGTCTGGAGGCGGTTGGAGAATGGGTGGCAGCTAACGGATTGAGGTTGAATCCTGACAAGACAGAAGTGCTGTTCTTGGGGCACAGGGGGCAGGCTGGTGTGGAGCACTCCCCGGTCCTGAATGGGGTAACTGTGCCCCTGAAGGACCAGATGTGCAGCCTGGGAGTCATTTTGGACTCCCAGCTGTCCATGGAGGTGCAGGTTAATTCTGTGTCCAGGGCAGCTGTCTACCAGCTCCATCTGGTACGCAGACTGAGACCCTACCTGCCCACAGACTGTGGGCAGCTAGACTGGAACACCCTCCCAGCAGATTTCAAGGAAATCAACAACTATTTTACTTTTAAAAGACAACTGAAGGTGGCCCTGTTTAGGGAAGTTTTTAATGTCTGATGCTGTATTGTTTTTAATATTCAGTTGGAAGCCGCGCAGAGTGGCTGAGGAAACCCAGCCAGATGGGCGGGGTATAAATAAAAAATTATTATTATTATTAGAACTGGGATGAGCTCGCAGCCCTTCTACACAATAGGTAAAGGTAAAGGGACCCCAGACCATTAGGTCCAGTCGTGACCGACTCTGGGGTTGTGGCGTTCATCTCGCTTTATTGGCCAAGGGAGCTGGCGTACAGCTTCTGGGTCATGTGGCCAGCATGACTAAGCCGCTTCTGGCGAACCAGAAACACTGTTTACCTTCCTGCCGGAGCGGTACCTATTTATCTACTTGCACTTTGGTGTGCTTTTGAACTGCTAGGTTGGCAGGAGCAGGGACCGAGCAATGGTAGCTCACCCTGTCACAGGGATTCGAACCGCCGACCTTCTGATCGGCAAGTCCTAGGCTCTGTGGTTTAACCCACAGCGCCACTCGTGTCCATTCTACAATAGTCCATTCTTAATTATCCCCCACGATTTCTGTACTAGAGTGGGGGATGAGTTTTCTGCCATCCTTGCCGATCTACTGCAAATCTTTCCCTTCTGCCCACTCCTGCTCTAGGGATCTTGGGTGGGGCAGGAGAAAAGCCATGAGAAAAGACAATTCACACACCAACAAAACATTCAAAAGCTATGCCCCCAAAGCAAAAAATTGTGACAATGAAACTGGGAATTGTCCCTGGTAAATAAGGGCTGATGGAGCACCTGGGAATAACTTGAGAAGCAGTAATGAATCTCATGGGAACTGGTATCTTGTCACGGAATACAATCACCCACAAACTCCATTTGAATAATCTCAATATATTCAAAGAGCTCCTTTCTCTTTTCTTTCTGTGTTGCTCAGTACAACTCCCCACCAGTTTGAACGTACAATCAGAACTCTTGAATCCTGGTTGGAAAATTGCTTGGACATATGAGAAACGTTTCCTTTTATCCGTGACCATGAGTTGAACCAAACTGGTAATGACGGCCGGACGGCTGACAGACCGGTTCATTCTTCCATGCAATATTAATAGACATCAAAGG